GTAATTAGTCAAATACCCTTTTTATACGCCCACATTCAAATGTGGTCGTATATTGTTGTCGCCCCGTCCGTCGGTCCGGCGTCCACAATTGCTTGTGGACGCTCTATAAGCTCAAGTTAATATCCGATTGACTTTAAATTTATCCACAGTGTTTAAGGTCATGACACAAAGAAACCTACTGATTTTCAGCGATTTTCGATAATTACTGCTAGAGTTTTGGCCCTTGATCACTTCAAAAAATCTTGTGGACGCTCTAGAGGCTAAAGTTAATATCCGATTGACTTTAGATTTATACACAGAGTTTAAGGTCATGAGATGAAGAATCCTATTCATTTTCGCTGATTATTGCCCTTGATCACTTCAAAAAATCTTGTGTCGACGCTCTAGAGGTCAAAGTTAATATCCGATTGACTTTAAATTTATACACAGTGTTTAAGGTCATGAGATGAAGAAGCCTATTGATTTTCAGCAATTTCTGATATTTTTTTGCCAGAGTTATGGCCCTTGATCACTTTGAAAAATCCTGTGACGCTCTAAGTCTAAAGGCTAAAGTTATCATCCGATTGACTTCTGAATGATACACAGAGTTTAAGGTCTTGAAACGAACAAGTATATTGATTTAAATGAATCTTTATGACTTGAACAGCTAAATCCATGATGTTAAAAGTTTCGTTTTCTAAACGTTAACATGGGACAGAACTTTATAAAAACGAAACAAATTCTAATGGTTTTCTGATAATTACTTAATGAGTTGTTAATCTTAATCAGATTTTAATGTATTATAAATGTTTCATTAACGAAAAAAGAAAAAAAAAATATGCCACAAGTCTTGTTGACTGCCCGGACGATATAGCTGCTGTGGGCGTATGTTTAGTTGCCTGGCAACCTATCTTTGACTTCTTATTATGTGCTAAAAATTTATGATGGTGTTAGTTGCCACAAGAAGGTTTGAATGCCTTCACAGTACCATCCTGAGACTGGCGATCGTTTCCAGCAGACAACATCCACTAGAGATCGGCCACGTCCTGGACAGCAATGTGTGACAATGCCTCGGCAAGATCGGATGCCAGTTTCCGGTACTGAGGCTACTGTGAGGGGTCCACATGGCTTTACTTACATCTATTCTGACTTAGCCATCCTCACTTTTGAGCATAATGCTTGAGTTCATGCATCAAATTTCCATAGATTTTTTGAACCAAAACAATGGGGCAGTGCTTGAGTTTGAATAGCCAGTCCTCTCTCATGATCTGTCTGAAATTCAGTTAATTGTGGATATTTTAGAATCTGAAGAGGTACCTTTCTCTACAGCGAAGTCATTGGTCTTTATGTTAAATTTAAAGCAGGATTTCAGGAATATGTTCATGCTTGACAGAATACATGTGTATTTGAATTAAAAGTTTTATGTTGACCAAAGCAGATTTGGAAATTCACAAGAATTTTTAGGCCTACCGATGTCGAAGATATAAAAAGTTTTATATTGCGATATTCATATGGTTCAATATAAGAACCTAAACAAGTTAAAACAAAGAGTGTTTGTATAAATATGGATAATGTATGATGTGGTTGGTCTTTATTAATTAAGAGTTACCGTTACTGCAAGTATGAAAAAAAGCCACCTGTCTGGGCCTGACTACATGTAGATCAAACAGTCTAAATACAGTAATATATTTCACAGTAACATAACTATTGTTCACAGTTAGCAGAAGGGTTGTTACTTAGGTTTTATTGATTTGTACAAGTGATAATTTGCTGGTATCAACCAGTGTGGAGTAACCATAGTAAATAAAACTTTTATATTAACCTGTGTTATCAGTACCATTACCACCCTATGAACGATGTTATTTCTCTCCTAATATATGTCCTGTCAACAATCTTAATACGAGTTAGAAATATTGTTATGCCCCCAAGTTTGCATTCATTTATGTAGTATGATAATGTTATTCAATACTTTATCTAGTTCAAAAACGTTTTTCTCTTTGCAAATCTGAGTCTTATAATAATAGAAAACCTTACCCACATTTCCCCTGAAACTTACCTTGAAACTTCTGTAAATATTGCTTAATTTGCTGATCAAATATCATTCATTTTGTTTTACAAGTGCCTATAATCAAGACTCTTAACAATACAGTAAACTTCGCATAAGTCAGATTCTTAGAAGTGGGATCTTCGCTCAACTTGGATGAAATCATTTGGACCATTTGATTCTGCATGTTTTTTTCTTATTAATTTCTGCGCGCAAGTCGGATTTCCCAAGTCGGATCTTTGCTCAACTCGTATCAAAATGTTCGGTCCATTTGATCTAATTCCGGCTTTTTTCCTTTGCCCAAGTCTGATCGACAGTATGTTCAGAATTTGACTAAGTCAGTTTCATCCTGATGGTCTAAAACATGGTTAGATATTCCATGCACACAGTCCCAAAATACTTTACCCCTATCATTTTGATTCAAATCAGCTTATTTGACGCAACACAATAGTAGAATTTTCCCAGAAAATTCAAAACTCGCTGTCTGCTGTACAAGACACTTTCCGGGAAAATTTAGGACATTTTTCAAAGATGGCGGCAAAATGGAAGTTATCTACTTGCACCAAAACAGAAGTTATCTGCTTGCACATACGAACAAAAGCTTGAAATGTGCCTTTGAATCAATTATTATCCGGCTCTTGCAGTTTATTTCTAATCGAGCTAAGATTGAATTTCGTTCTTCAGCTAACTCAGATCTTCGCTTAACTCGGATAAAATTGGTCAGTCCACTTTAATCCAACTTATGCAAAGTTTACTGTATTTATTATACCAACACTGGGTCACTAGCCAGGAGACCAAGAAATATCTCTGGAATTTGACGGCCTGGTTTCCCCTTGTCAGTGGTGCTGAATGAATGGCCTGACAAGGAACAGTGTCTAGTCGTTCAGATGGTACCCATCCATTTCTTTTCATTTATGTGAACAAACTAAATAATGTGATACCTCACTAGCAGACTGAGCAGTCATAAGGCAAGGATAGTTGGTATAACGAACATGCTTAACAAATCACTCATGTGCAAATAAAAAAGGTCATTCAAATGAGAATGTAATTATTTTTCTGAGTGGGTGTGCCTGACTGTATTTTAAGATATTGTGATGTGAAATGATGATTTTGTTGTGATAATACTAATATTACTACTGGTACATGTAGCTATGATTCGCTGTATCAGTGAGAGTGATGATAATGTGTAACTAATTATTCCTGCTATCAGATCAATATGTTAGTGGACTATTTGTGATGTTAAGTCCTTCCTTGTGGTCTTCTATCACACCATCAAGTTGACTAGTCATAGTATGATTCAAGTTTGTATGGTAATATTTTCTATTATAAAGCCTTACTGGATGCACATATTAACAACATTAAAGTATATTAAATTTAATTAAGGTAATGCACATGTGGGTGGGTCGGGTGTTAATATGTTGATCAAATAATATTTACAAATATTACAGTTACATTTACCTATAGACAGTCTTAATCTTTTATTTCAAAATCATAAAGGGCAAACTTTATTGTGATGCAAAATTTTATTGAAAATAAAGAAGCACATATAAATCGCATTTTGAAATAGTATGAGGAAAAGGGTGACACACATCACAATAGACAAGGACAGAACGACAGATGTCCCGAATCTTATAAATTAGTTATTTTGGGGGTAGTGTTGAACTTTGTGCCAAATTTGATCTTGTGAGAATTTATATTTTGCTTAAGTTTATGGCTGTTAAATTATAGGGTTGTGTATAATTAAAAAAATTACATAATTATTACAATAAATAGGTTTGTAAAACTGGTTATTGTCACAGTTTATTAATCCCATACAAGAAAATGAAGAAAAAGTAAATCAACTGATTTTTATCTGTATTCTGTTGTATGTCGTATGAAAGATGTTAGACTATTGGTTACCGGAGTGATATGAAACTAGGCCTATACATTTAAATTTTATATCTTGTATGTCTATTCTTATCAGAGGGTCATATAATAAGAAATGGTCCAATAAGTTTGAAGATTGTGTATTGATTGGGCCTGTGGTTGTATAGGTTTGTGGTTGTCAGTGCTCAATAGTGTATTCTGAATAGCAGGTGAATTATTAAGTAGTAATCATGTGTACTAAGCTAATGTACATCAATAATGTGAATTTTCATTAATTCAGTGTCATGATCTTGTGCCGTCTTCTAGAGTCATATGAACTTTCATGTTACTTATTAGTAAAGGTACATCCAGGTATCTTTAGTCTTTTTTGGGGAATAGGAATTTATCTGATTAAAGGCCACGTCCTTGGTGTAAACTATGATCAGGATGTGTATAATGTGATGGATATTTTGTAGAATATTCTAGAAACTTCTGTATGGGGGAAATGTCTGATATTAACAAACCTGTTTAACCTATATTTGTAAATTGTAATTAAAATTTGTACATTAGTGGAGTTAACTATTATTGAGTTGTAAACATAGAGGTAATGGTGGTCTTAGCTGGTTTATTTTACTGTGAATATGACACAGTCTCTTTAAAAGTTTAAAGCTGTTAACGCCTAGGGCTAGTTGCATCATTTAGATTGAATATGTAACTTACTATTGCTTTGCTTTAAAATGAAACTGTGCAGTTAGCTTATTCATATGACCATGATTTTATTTCCTCATACATAGCCACTTTTGTTATTAAACAAAGTTATATCCCTGACTGCATATCATATAGCTTGATAATTCATAATATAACATTCTGTAATTCTAATTTACCATAATATGTTAATAATGTAGTACATGTACAATACCAAAATGATTAATAGCATTTAGAAGATTGGTGTGGAGTACTGAAGACATACAAAATAATATAATGTATGATATTCTTTTGTTATTTGTCACATGCAATTTATACATGACAACCCCTCTCAATGCATTTAAAATGTATATAATTCGTATATAATAATATAAAATCGTGGATTGATTGTATTTATTTTTAATTGTTTATTTTTGTATATTTTCAGGTTATGAATTAGGCTGCTAACAATAGAACATATAGATGAGTGGACTAGATTATGCGGGACAGTTTGACTATGGACTTCAATGCCCTAGACCTGCTGGCGTCAACTGCTGTTCTCCAGACAAGAGATTCTGATAATTCTAGCAGTCCTGGTACCCATGATCAAGATGGTAAAAGTGATGAAACATCAGAACAGAGTGCAGAAACTGATGAGGATGGGAATCCACAAGAGTTAGAGATAAAAGACATAAGTCAAGTGGAAGATACAATGGGTTCTATGAAGAGAGACAGAAAGGCCAGCCTATCTGAGGAAACACCAAATTTACCCAAAGATGTTATAGGGACAAATTTGTATTTTGTCAAATCAACAGAAGACCTGTTGAATTGCGGTAAAAAAATTGGTGATACTATAAATAATGTGTCTGATCAATCCAAGATGGATGATACATCTATATTACCTACTCCATCACTGAATATAACAGACAAGACAGAGAATTCAGACACAGATTCATGTATGGAGGACAATGATATTCTAAATTCTGAAGAATCTACCTCAGATTTGATGGTGACTAGGACAGCAAGTGATGAGCTGGATAATAAAATGTGTAAAAATAAGACAATAATGCGTTCATTATTAACGGGACAAACTGTGAACACACATAGTGAGCAATTTGATGAAACAAATGTTGTTTGTTGTAAGAAAGTAAACTGTGATGAACAGAGCCAGGCTGATAGTGTTTCCGTTGTAGGAATTCATCAAAGCTCTGATGAAAATAAAAGTGCTAGTATTGGGTTATCCATATCTGAACAATGTGAGCACAATCTTGGAGATACAGTTAGTAATGAACTAGTTGATGTCGGGCAGGCAAAGTTTACCGTATCTGAGAAGATGTGTGAAAATAAGGATGTGACGTCTACACTGGACAACAGTAGTAACGTGTTAAAAAATCATCTGGAGAATTGTAAAAATAGTCTTCGAGACAGTGTTTTGGACTCAACAGAAGATCCTGTTGCCTCTCACAGTGACTCTGAGGCTCTTCATTTTGTGGTGGTTTCTGATCACTGTTATGCTTCAGTACCTGGTAAAAACTCATATTTAGAGAGATTAGATGGGGAGGATCATGAATCAGATTCAGGAATTGATGGCAACAGTTCTTCAGAAGAGGCTGAACATCGTACTAGGAGTTTATCACTGGATAGTAACTGTCTACACTGTGGTTTTCCAGAGTTATCTGGACGAAGTGGTCGCCTCTTATCTCAGGGATCTGATTTTGACCGTTCACCTATAGGAAATTCAGGCTTTCATCTTGGATTATCTGTTCTATCTCCCACTCTTTCTTCCTCAGACTCTCAGTGTAGTGACTATCACAATACTGGCACTAATCTAGTGGAAAACGCCTCACTTCAAAAATATGACAGTGATTCTGTATTTGATGAGAAAAAATATAAAACTGTAGATTTTGATCTTGATAACCAGGTGGCTGCTAGTACAAGTGATAAAACAGACACCGGACATGATCTAGTGAAAGTAGGAAAATTTAGAATTGGTAAATTTGCCTCGTTTACTAACATAGATGACACTGAATCAGATAAAATATATAATCGGGACTCTTTTAACGTCAACTATGGTGTTTCTCCTGCATCATCTGGTGGTATGCCAGCTTCTCCTGGAATTCCTTCTCTTCTTCAGTCTCCTTGCGGAGATTGGGACAGGTCAGATGCTGGATCGGAAGTGCTAGATGACATGGACTATATAGCTACTCCTGAAGAACCTAAGGAACTTGCTCTCATGCTTCAGAGTAATAAATTACCCAACAGTTCTACAGTTTGTTTAACAGTGAATCACGATCATGATTACTGTTTTCGTGGAGGCTCACTGCCATCTAGTCCCATTGGCGTAGATAGAAAAAGTGGAAAAAATGAGAAGAGAAAGTACATGACAGCAGCCAGGAGTCGGGGAACAAACCTTTATTTGAAAGAACCAAAATCAAAGACAGTTAAGATAAAAAATAAAAAAGGTTTATCAGAAACAATAGAGAAGGTGAAAAATTCATTGGCAACCTCTGCACCTGTTTCTATAGATTGCAACTTCAAGAAACCAGAACAACCAGTTAACCCTTTTCTTGATAAATTTAACTCCATGGGACGACCAAAGCGCAGATTAGAAAAAGAAGAAGAGCCAGAAATTGAACTAGATTCGGGGTCCAAGTTGAAAATCACAGGAAAATTTCAAAATGATTTTGTTTATTTCTTGAACAAAACGTCACGTAATAGGAGGAGGTCATCCTTTGAAATTGCAAATCTTGTAAATTCAGATGGAAAAATAGTACAGCCTGCAAAGCCTATCGATATCATCGTTCCCCATCTAACTGATGATGATTTGGAAGTGTTACAGACGAAAGGACGTGCTGGACTAGCCATGTTAGAAAAATTTAGTACAAATCCCCAATTATTAGATCGTTTCAGTGCTACACTACAGTCTCAGAGTAAAGTTTGTGATGTTGACAATAATTATATAAGTAAAATATCTGAGAAAAACAATGGTGTGAATCAAGTAACTACAGAGAGTTATATTGATGATGATAAAATTATTAACACTATATTGAGTATGGAAAATGATAATCTAAGTTCTCCAGTACCATCTGAACACAGTGTATCTACAGATATGGATTTCTTTAATAATGGCGGTGGAGAGACAATCAATCTGATGGGGGAAAATATGACCTTGACACCAGATCAGGTAAATACATGTAGTGTATAAACAGATATTTATGGTCCATTTGGCTATTGTATAGTAGACTAGAACAGTTGACTATTTCTTTGTATTATTATAACACTTAACAGTATATTGCTTATACAAAATAGAATTTGAATTAAGACACAGTATTTACATGTATGCACATAATGTCTGTGTATATCATGAAGAACACAAACATATGTAGGTCATTGTTATTGTTATGCATGTAATAGTAATACAGAAAGAAATTTCTAGATCTATACTGTAATGTTGTAGAATAAAAATAAGATACACAATGAGGTATACTTTTGTAATCGTACACTAGTCTATATGTACCAATTTAACAATCTTTGAAGTTATCTACATTTGTACCATTTAAAAAATTAATTCATACTGAATGTAGTTGCACATACAAGTACATGTACAAAGGGAAATTATTTACATTGAATTGTTCTTGTATAAATTTCTAAAAATACATAATTGAAAGTAAAGTCAGGTGAACTCCAATCAAATTTGATAAATAACATGTTAAAGAAGGTTTACAATGATTTAACCAGTATTAGGTCTGTTTACATGTAATTGTAAATATCTGTTCTGGCACACAGCCGGCATATAAATACCAGAATATGTAGTTTACCTATAGAACAGTTAGCCAAGTCATTGTGTCCTATACAACAACTAGCTGTATGTTTTTACCATCTCTCAATGGTACATGTTGTTTGAATCAGCTGTTGATAGTTTTGTTTTTCCTACCATATATGTTTTTATATGCCCACATTTTCATGTAGATGTATATTGTCGTCGCCCCTGTTTGTCCGTCCGTCCACAGGGGATTATGGCCCCTGATTGTACGAAAAATCACGTTTTTAGCTTGTGGACACCCTAGAGGTCACAATTTTAATCCGATTTTGTTGAAACTTGAAATGTAAGTTTATAACCCAAAGATCTCGGTTCCTTTCTATATTTGCGCATATCGGACCGTAACTTCCTGAATTATGGCCCCTGATTGTAAGAAAAATCGCGTTTTTAGCTTGTGTACCCTATAGAGGTCATAATTTTTATCCGATTTAAAAAAAACATATTATTATATCACCGTTACACCCTAAGGACGGCTGAGTTCGAATTTCGTGAAAATCCGCCCAAACCTGACAGACAAAATGGCCGCCCTTCGTTCTCAAATAGCGTTAAAAAAAAATGGTATATCAAGGCTGTGGACCGTATAGAGGTCACAATTTTAATCCGATTTTGTTGAAACTTGAAATGTAAGTTTATAACACAAAGATCTCAGTTCCTTTCGATGTTTGCCCATATTGAATTGTAATTTCCTGAATTATGGCCCTTGATTGTAGGAAAAATCACTTTCCTTTTAGCTTGTTCTCTATCCATCTGTCGAAAATGTGGGCGTATCCTGCCTGGCAGCCGCTGGTTATGATAATTTTTTTCGATATTTGAAGTTTTTGGCGATATTCGATAAACCACTATATCAACGATTTTTGGCCACATTATATCGTAGTTGGTTCTAAAAATACCATATCGCGATAAATGACTATATCGAAAGTATCGTACAGCCCTAATTTAAATAATGCATATAAATTTCATACAGATCAGATGATAACTTTCATCATTTGAGCAATCAAAAGGTTCAACAAGGGCCATAACTCTACAAGTAATTATTTGAAAATGCTGAAATTCAATAGGATTCTTTGTTTCACTAATTTAAATGTTTCATATAAATTTTGTACAGATCAGAAGATAGCTATCGTCCTTCGAATGTTCACAGGGTTCAACAAGGGCTATAACTCTAGACATAATTATTGGAAATTGCTGAAATTCAATGGGAGTCTTTGTGTCATTAATTTAAATGATGTGTAAATTTCATACAGATCGGATGATAACTATTGACGCAACAAAGAGCATTTACAAGGCGCAACAAAGTGAAACTAGGGCCATAACTTAAAGTAGCTAAGTCTCTAACTCAATATCATCCAAAACCTTCGACATTGAAAACAAGAATTAGTTGTCAGTTTTAATCAACATTAGTGTTGTGATCTTACCGGGAAAAGATAGGCTTCTGATATCCAATATTTAAGACAAAATAAACATTTTACGATTGGTACACGAATCGTGTACCATAATGCGTTTCAGCGGTATTTGTAAAAAACGACTCGAAGAACGAGGTTAGACATATTCCAGAAGTCATGCCAAACGGTGACCGATATTCTTATCTGGAGAGCATGCGCAATAAATACTATCGGTGTAGACTGGAATAACCAAACGTTAGAGATTGCCATTCGATTGAGACTTCTGGCGTATTTCGTCGAACATAACTGCTTTGAAATTAGAGTAAAAACTGAAACGATTGAATGTAAATCAGTTTATTTACATTCATATTACATTATTATATACGCTGCGACTCATTTGTGTCAATTTGTAGATCCCAAATATTAGAGGTTTAGCTCCTTTAAGAAGAAATTATTGGAAATTGCTGAAATTCAATATGATTCTTTGGTTTACTAATCTAAATGATGCAGATAAATTTCATACAGATGGTCAGATAATTTTTGGCGTTAAAGCATTCACAAGGTTCAATAAAGTGAAACAAGGGCCATAACTCTAGACATAATAAACGGAAATTGCTGAAATTCAATAGGATTGTTCGTTTCACTAATTTAAATAATGCATATAAATTTCACAAAGATAGGATGATAACTTCTGGCGTTAAATAGGGCTGTGTCGATATATCGGTACACCGATATGTATCGATACGTTCCAACGATATTTATATTGATACGTAATATTGCCGTTTGATTGGTTGATGCTTTTGGACACGATAACTTTAGTTCTAATTAAGTGAGAGTGTATAGTTTCATTACATCAATACCTTGACTAAGTTTGATAATGAACATTTTCTGCTCAGGGTAAGCGGAGCAATAAGCAATTTGATTGGTCGAGACTTTGGAACACAATAACTCTCATTCTAATTGAGTTACAATGTTCACACTTGGCATTGGCGTTCATTAGGTGAATGCCTTGGTGGAGTTCTATAATGAACATTGCTGTCTGCTTACAGTAAGCAGAAATAAGCAATCTGTTTGGGTGGTGCTTTGAGGCACGATAACTTTGGTTATAATGAAGTGAGAGCGATGGAACTCCGAATATAGATTCATTATATCATTACCTTGACTAATTTCGATGGTGAGAATTTTCTGCTTAGGCTAATGAGCGATAAGCAATTTGATTGGTCAGGACTTTGGAACATAACAACTCTGCTTTTAATTGAGGTAGAATGTTTAGACTTGATGTAGATGTTCATTAGGTGAATGTCCGGACTGAGTTCAATAATGAACATTTTGAGCTGAAGCTATAAGCAATTTGATTGGTCGAGACCTTGGAACACAATAACTCTCCTTCTAATTGAACTAGAATCTTCAAACTTGGTGTAGGTGTTTATTAGGTCAATGGCTTGATGGAGTTCGAAGATGAGCATTTTCTGCTTAGGGTACGCAGAGGTAAACAATTTGATTGGTTGATGCTTTTGGACACGATAACTTTAGTTCTAATGAAGTAAGAGTGATGAAACTTGGTGTATAGTTTCATTGCATTAATACCTTGACTAAGTTTGATAATGAACATTTTCTGCTCAGGGTAAGCAGAGCGATAAGCAATTTGATTGGTCGAGACTTTGGAACACAATAACTCTCCTTCTAATTGAACTAGAATCTTCAAACTTGGTGTAGGTGTTTATTAGGTCAATGGCTTGATGGAGTTCGAAGATGAGCATTTTCTGCTTAGGGTAAGCAGAGGTAAGCAATTTGATTGGTTGATGCTTTTGGACACGATGACTTTAGTTCTAATGAAGTAAGAGTGATGAAACTTGGTGTATAGTTTCATTGCATTAAGAGCCATTCCACGAGAAAACCATGCAATATCATGCAGATGTTCGAAGGTGGGGGTCGGCCGTTTTAGTTCATATTCATAGGGTTTGGTAGACCCATCGAGCCTACTCCCCAGCCAAAATCGCCGATTTCAGAAATCAACCGTTTCCGAGATACTGCCCGATTACGTTTTTCGGCTGATTTTTGCCATTTTTAGGCGAAATATTAGCTATTTTTGTTGCACTACTACCGCTGTTACATGACCATGGAGAACTAGGTTTTGGTTGTTCGTGATAGTCAGGGTCTTACCCGATCACATTATCATGGTAACCCGGTTCAAGTTCATTTTCCATAGGTGTCAGGAGACTACACAAGATACGTGTCTGGAGATACCTGAAATCGTGTCTGGAGATACCTGAAATGTACCCTATCTTCAAATCGCGATAACTCCACTGGAGCAGGGTTCAGACGTGTCAACTAACCTTTTTTTTCCGTGAGACTCACGGATTCGGGACCTTTCTCCCGATCTCCTGTGCGGGAGGAATTTTCTCACGGAAAATGGCCATATTGCCGATTCTAGTTTTGCTTTTTCAAAGGGAGGTAACTCCATTACTTCCGTTTCATAAATCGACCTCACAATTGGCTGAATTTGACCGGAAACTTATAATTAATTACGGTAATACGTGTGTTTGTTGTATTTCTGTAAAACTCGTGTAATCATGTAATTATGAAACCATTTAAGCATGTAATCATGCGTGTACAAGCCTGGAGGCCATGAAATGATTTTTTACCGTGGATTGTAATTCTTTTCTGAAATTTAGCCGACTTTTAATCTGCGATTTTGGATTACATTTCCAGTTAAATATATTACTAGCGATTGTATTATAATACTTTGATATCAATCACAATATATGCAAATAATCTGACGCAAAAATTATCGAAATATAAGCGCAACTACCATTTATGTACGGGAGACACTTGCGGGAAAATACCGCTCTGACGTCCCGTGTCCGGGGATTTCCATTCACGCGATTGTTGCCATAGAAAACGGGATTTATCGGTTTTGCAGATTGAAATTTGCTACTTTCAACTAAATGTAGCCTACTTTTTATTTGATATTATCAAGAT